ATTCAATAAAATACAAGCTAGACAGAGACGAAATAATGTGACTATCCAACTTGATGGAGCTGAGCCCTTCTTGAGTAGCCGCCAATTCTGCAGCTACTCAAGAATTTCCCAGCATTTTATGGAACCCGAAGGTTTAACTGTGTTCACAAGAGCCATCCATTGATCCCTATCTCGAGCCAGATCAATCCAATCCATACCATCCCATCATATCTCTCTAATATCCATTTTAATATTGGCCACCCAACTACGCCTTGGTCTTCCCAGTGATCTCTTTCCTTCTGGCTTTTCCACAAATATCCTATATGCATTCCTCTTCGTCCCTATTCGTGCTACATTCCCTGCCTATCTCATCCTCCTTGACTTGATCATTCTAACTATACTTGGAGAAGAGTACAAGTTATGAAGCTCCTCATTATGCAGTTTTCTCCGACCTCCTGTCACTTCATCTCTCTTCGGTCCAAATATTCTCCTCAACACCCTGTTCTCAAACACCCTCAGTCTATGTTCCTCCCTTAATGTCAGCGACCAAGTTCAAACCCATACAGAACCACAGGCAAAATTATAGTTTTGTATATTCTAATTTTTATGTTTTTGGACAGCAGACGAGAAGACAAAAGGTTCTGGACTGAATGGAAGCAAGCATTACCTGAGTTCAGTCTCCTCCTGAATCAGGTTTTGATTTGTTATCGTCGTTCCCAAATATCTGAACTATGCCACATTTTCCGACGTGACCTCCTAAGCTGTCGTTTTTACATGAGGATACATGACGTACATGAACTGGATAATATTCTTCGCTTTTAGGATGACCACACTGCCGCGTGGTCTCTTTTCTTGGGGACAAGCAACACTTTTGGCTTCTGGATGGATGTCCTGAGCTCCTTGTTTGTTGCTGCACTTACACTGACTTTCTTCATGCTTGAAGGTAAGTACTGAATGCTCTCTCTTTACAATGAACAGCGTTATAACAAACTCCGTGGTTTTAGTCCGCAAGCGAACTATACCGACCGAGCGACCGCCGCTTGTCGGCGAAGTTAGTGCCAACTTTAGCAGATAGAGCGTGTCGCATGGTCAGCGCAACGGATCCCCACGACCGTTAATCTCGGTTTTCTAGACCGGAGCCTCTGTTTCCTTGAAACAGCTCTAAATAATAACCCCTTTCCAGACTCACTACTTCTCAGAAAATCTGGTAGCGCCGGGAATCGAACCCGGACTTCTGGATCTGTAGCCAGGAACACTTACTACTAGGCCACAGAAGCTGTCGAGCAGCGTTATATAATCCGCCAAAATGTCGTCACAAATATAAAACAATAAGTGCAAAGACACTGCACATACTTTCTCACATACGAACGAAAATGGCCATATTACGAGAGAGTCAGTAAAAAAATGTCACAACTTAACTTAAACAATACAGAGGAAGATAATGATAATAGTACGGACAACAGACGGGAAAGAAATAGCGGAGAAAAAAGTGAACTGATTATCCGCAACCCAATACCACCCAGAAGAACAAAAATATTTTCTGAAATTGCAATTTATATGATTCTGCATGGGAACGCTATAACAGAACTGTAACGGTGAGATGACCTTGAATATATGGATGTCCCAGTAGTTCGCGATAAAGCCACGGGGGCACCAATTACCGATCTCGCACGCAAGCGCAATGACAGATGGCGTTGTTAACGTAGACTATTTGGGATATTACGGGTAGCGGGTTCGTATATTACCGCAGGCTATGGCAGAATCTTCCGGCCTGTGGCGTAGGGAGGCTGTGCTTCGATATTGCTTTTGACATTTAATGTTATCCTCTGATAATATACACTTCAATATGGAACTTTATGTTAACAGAGAACATTGGAGCAAAAGTCGGACTGGCATTGTCACAGGCACTTATAGTGACAGGAATGCTTCAGTATGGTCTACTGCGAACTACTGATGTGGTGAGTCAGATGACATCAGTGGAGAGAGTACTCGATTACACCAACATTGAAAAGGAACCAGATCTGGAGTCTGCCCCAGGTGAGCAAACGTGTAACTGCTTTTACAGAGGTCCAAAAATAGCCTTTCCATTGACTCCGTGTTCTCCGTTGAAATTCGACTAACATTTCGGAGGAACATACCGCTTCCATCTTCAGAGCCTTGTTTACTGTCTACTTAATGTTGGGCTTCTTGATTAGCTTCCTTTCGAGTAAGACGGAGGCGATACGTTCCTCCGAAACATCGGATTTCACCGGATTACACAGCGTTATATCCCAAAATACAGATCTCGTTAACATCTGAGGTCTTCAGCAACGTAGAGGTCAGTTTAATTTACATAAGCTCATTCTTCCAAATGTTTACATTACTTCAACACGTATTCAGTTAATATTTCTCAGCTGTTTCCTAATGATTTTGTCTCACACGTACTAGACAGAGCGTACGTTCCAAAAACCAGTCCAATAATGTTATTCGTCTTCCACAGATAAGAAACCACCTCCCACCTGGCCGAGTGAAGGTGCTATTGAGTTCGAACATTTGTACATGAGATATGCTGAAAACCAGCCCCCTGTACTGAAGGATCTCCATTTTAAAATAGACCCAACTTACAAGGTATGTATGTCTCTAGGAGACCTCTGAGCAAAATTAGGCAACAAGTTTCCCGCCCAAGTAGTTTCCAATGCCTCTGGTAGATGGGGGAAATAGCAGGTACCGAGGGCCGACCTCGTTGGCTGAACGGGGCTGATAGTATGCACCAGTACCGGTAGGGTATGGCGACAGTAGAAATTAAAGGGGGATGCACAATGGACCAATAACTGGTCTAAGTGCATGGGGAAACCGACCCCCTCTAATAATAATAATAATAATAATAATAATAATACAAGGTATGTATGTTTCGAAGATTGACATACAAGCCAATCTAAAAACTATCTTAATTTTGTCTTGTTCGATATTGGACCAGTCAGATAATTGGAGAAATTACAGTTCCAATGTCATTAAATCATGTGGCAGCACAGCAGTAATCCGTCTCTCGGCCACTCACGAAGTGTGAACAAATTTATAAATGCTTTATGTGACTTATTTAACCGATCACAGTGGCCGCGCGGTCTAAGGCATAAACAGTCTTCGCCCGCTCGAACGCTGGGATCGTGGGTTCGAATCCCACTCGAGACATGGATGTCTGTGTGCGTTTATTCCGTGTTTGTGTTGTTCTTTGTCTATGTAGCTGCCTTGCGATGGGCTGATCCCACGTCCAAGGAGTCCTAACGTCTGTATATAGATTAAGAAACTGAAAAGAAGCGGCCAAGGTCCACAAGGGCTGTAAAGCCATAGACAAATAATAACAATTATCCGGGAGGCTGCACGTGTCAATGATAAAAAAGATATACAGCAAATAAGCAAAACCGAAAATGCTTTCAAAACGGAAATCAAATCAGTAATAGCCACATACGTATTGTGATGTGTTAGTGACTAACCACAGGGTTCGGATTTATAATTGGATTTACCGAAAGCTTATAACTCCTAACTATAAATAATTATAACCTTCTCACTGATTTACACGCTCTCAAGAGATTACTATAACTATAGCACATATAAAGTCTTGTTTATTCACTAGGCGATTCCAGGTAACGGCTGCTAACAATCCAACACAAGACTCCTAACCGCTGACTGCGACCTCCGACTGACTGTCGACTCCCAACTCATAAATTGCGATCCATGACTCATGACTGTCGACAAGACTGGTGTCCTCATTATATAACGTCGGCACGGACCGCACGGAAAACACCGCTTCCAACGATTTATCTGGTTCATGTGTTAAGCGAGCTGTTGCCTAACGATGGCCCAGCTATTGTTAAAGCGAGAGCGTCTTTTGGTTCCCGTAGAAACATGTTTACCGGCCGTCGCCTAGCAATGGATGTCTGTTCTGCGCCCTCAATTTTGGCTTTAAGCCGTCTTGTCACAATAAAACACTGATTTGTGCATCGTAATCATGTTGGATATGCCCAGTCTGTTATACATTAAATATACACGGTGTTTTGGCACTTGGCTCTAATTCTGGACGTGCTGCTGGCACAAAAGTTTAGCACTGAGAATGTTCAGGGCTCGATCCCGGCCTTTGCCACTGAAAGGTAAAAGTAACTCTATCCCTGTAACAGGCCGTGGAGGCCAATAGGGTTGTGAGACGTCGAGGCTCCCACATTTTCTCTAGACAACTGGCTCACAGATGGCGGTAAGGTCGTCAGCCTTACGCACCGGCTGCCCTTTACCTCCAGGAAGATTATATATATATATATACATACACACACAACAGGGTGTAACAAAATATGAGTGTCTTACTGTCGCCCAGTTTCCATCACGTATTTACTTTGTCCTCAATGACGTCATAGGTTGGAATTGTGGGCAGAACGGGAGCTGGAAAATCGTCTCTAATCTCAGCTCTGTTCCGCCTGGCCAAACTCGAAGGTTCCATAAAGATAGACGGAATCAACACGAATGATCTTGGTCTCCACGACCTTCGGGGGAGAATCTCAATCATCCCTCAGGAACCTGTCCTCTTTTCTGAGTCGCTCAGACATAATCTCGACCCCTTCCAGCAGTACAGCGATGAAGCCCTATGGAGTTCACTAGAAGAGGTAAGCTATATGATACCTTTCCGTTTGTTCATATTTGTGTTCATAGAATTCCACCACGTATACCGTGAGGCTAATGGAATATAGGTAGAGAAGGTACCTTCCCGTATTTCTTGCTTTTCTTACAATAACTCTTCTAGCCCATTCAGGGACCAGTCCTCTTATTCAGTACCGTATTCATTTTTCATACACGGTAGAACTCCTTGTGCGAGCGATCAGCCCGTCGCAAGGCCGCTACCTAAACACAGGACAACACAAACACAGAATAAACATATACATCCATTCCTCAACTTGGATTCAAACACACAATCCCAGTGTCCGAGCGAGCGAAGACAGTTCATGTCTACTGTGACCGATTTCTTGCATTAACCACCTAATTCAGTATTAAGAACGCGACATTTTAGGCCTGTGTTCGTGAAGTACCAGGTTCGAATCTACACTGGGATATCGGCTATCCTTGCTGAGGATTTTCCTTAGTTTTCCTCAGACCCCAGAAGGAAAATAGCCGAATATCTCTATTATACCACGACGGGCTCCCTTCCAAATTCTTTCCAGTTTATCATTCGGTAATCATCCTAACATTATACACTACAGCAAACCTTCACTAAACTGGTTAACAGTTAATCAAGATGTCGCATAATCCGGATCGAAATATGAAAAATGCTCTTCACAGTTGAGTTATGTACTTTAAAAGACACGTGGCATTTAGGAGCAAGAGGACTTTCAGACTGTGTTGAGGGCTGCTGGAGAGGCTTAAACCACACAAGAAAATATCCAACACTGATGAAGACCATGAAAATCCTCAGGCAGGAACCGGTGTCCTAACCGAGATTCGAACTTGGAGACTACCGAATACAATTCACAGACGTTGGCGCTTCAACCAATCTCTTTACTCCCAAAACTATACAGGTTCATCTTAAGTACTGACATTTTCTTCATCTTCAGGTCGACCTGAAGGCGGCCGTCACAAGCTTGGATATAAAGGTTCAAGAGGGAGGGAGCAACTTCAGTGTGGGGCAGAGACAGCTGATATGCTTGGCTAGAGCCATACTTCGCAACAACAAGATATTGGTGCTGGATGAGGCGACAGCCAACGTTGACCCAGAGTAAGTAGCCCTTAACTGGCATGAGTGCTGAACAATCGCCACCATGAGAACACTAAAACCTCTGAACCTCAGTTGTCAGCTTCTGCCATGTAAGATTTCAGACGTTTACAGACGTTTCGGAAGAAAAGTACTGCCTCCTCCTTCATAGTCTATAAGTTAGCCACGCAACCAGCAAGCAATAAAAAGCGCACTGCTTGATACTTGTTTCCTGCTGGTCTCTTGGCTTGCTCTTCGATCCTGAAGATGGAAGCAGAATGATCCTCCGAATCGTTGCTAAACTTCTACCAGAAAAGTCGTATCATTGTTGAGGACCTAAATTCCAACAAAGCCCAAATAATCTTATATGTAATAATTTACGACGGACAGTCAGTAAATAGGGGTTCTGTATGGGTGTGAAACTTGGTCTCTAACATTAAGGGAGGAACATAGACTGAGGGTGTTTGAGAACAGGGTGTTGAGAATATTTGGACCGAAGAGAGATGAAGTAACAGGAGGTTCGAGAAAACTGCATAATGAGGAGCTTCATAACTTGTACTCTTCTCCAAGTATAATTAGAATGATCAAGTCAAGGAGGATGAGGTGGGCAGGTCACGTAGCACGAATGGGGGAGACGATGTATGCGTATAGGATATTGGTGGGAAAGCCAGAAAGAAACAGACCACAGGGAAGACCAATACGTAGGTGGGTGGACAATATTAGAATGGATCTTAGAGAGACGGGACGGGAAGGTATGGATTGGATAGATCTGGCTCAGGATAGGGACCAATAGAGGGCTCTTGTGAACACGGTAATGAACCTTCGGGTTCCATAAAATGGTGGGAAATTCTTGAGTAGGCTCAGCTCCATGAGTAAGTATGTCAGTAACTAGGCCACAAATTGATATAAAACTTAAAACATGTGATATTCGAACCTAGATAAAAAACATTATTTCTCGACATATCCTCCATCAACATCGATGAACGTGTCCCATCGCTTTACCAGTTCGTTTCAGCCACTTCCGCAACTCCGTCTAAACCTCTTCGTTACCGGCGAAACGTTTCTCGACCCAGTTGTGAACCGCTTTAAGCGATAAACACTTCCCACAGTGAACAGGAAACCTTTCTTTGTGAATATCCTTCCCACTAGTCCTTTTACCCACAAAATCGCACAACAGAACGCTGATCTTCTGTGATAACACTCCTCAAGCACGGTTGCCAATATGACTATTGATACAAGCCTATGAACATGAGCATGCGCGCCTGCTACCTAGACTGTGCTGCTACCTACTGATAAACGAAAGAACCTATTAGGTCCATTACAGTTTTTATTACTTCCGTTTGTGACCTATTTACTAACTCTCCCTCATAGTAGGAAACTGCATAATGAGGAGCTTCATAATTTGTACTCTTCCTCAAGTATAATTATAATTACGAAGTCAAGGAGGTTGAGATGGGCAGAGCATGTAGGACGCATGGGAAAGAAGAGGAATGCATTTAGGATTTTGATGGGAGAGCAAGAAGGATATAGACCAATAGGAAAACCAAGACATAGATAGGAGGAAAATACGTAGGTAACTCAATAAATAAGTTACAAATGGATATAGAACTTAAACAAATAAGAGTACTGATTTGAAAAAATGCTTTTATTTCTCAACATAATCTCCCTGCACATTGAGGCACTTGTCCCATCTTTCACAAGCCCCTGAAAACCAGCAGCATAAAATTCTTTGGGCTGCTGTCAGAACCAGGCGGTGACTGGGATCACGAAGGCACACTGCTCACCGCATTCCAGCCTCAAGGACAAACAATAAAAGCCGACTCCTACTGCAACATCCTCAGGAAACTTCGTAAGACCATTCGACGGAAGCGACCAAGACTCCTCACCAAAAGCGTGTTGACAAAGCGCGTCCCCATACTGCCAACAAGACAAATGAGACGCTGCGAAATTTCAAGCGGGAAGTCCTCAAGCATCCTCCGTATAGCCCCGACCTTGCTTCAAGAGACTTCCATTTGTTCGACCCTTTTAAACATCATCTTTCGGCTGAACATATTCCCGACGATGAAGCTGTAGTACGGGAAGTCACCGCCTGGTTCCGACAGCAGCCCAAAGAATTTTATGCTGCTGGTTTTCAGGGGCTTGTGAAACGATGGGAATGTACAGGGAGATTATGTAGAGAATTAAAAGCATTTTTCAAACCAGTGCTCTTATTTAAGTTCTACATCGATTTGTAACTTACTTATTGACTTACCCTCGTATTAACTAGAATGGGGTGGTACGGAATAGACAGAGCTGGCTCAGGATAGGGACCAGTGGTGCGCTAGTACAAACACAGTAAAAAAAACCTTCGGGTTCCATAAAATGCTGGGAAATTCATGAGTGGCTGAGCGACTGCCGGTTTCTCAAGAAAGGTTCAGTTCCCTGTAGTTACTTATTTATGCCACGCCATAGCTCAAGCGGTTAGTTACTGGCTTCCCACTGCGGCGGCCATGGTTCGATCCCGGGTCTGGTCAAGTGGGATTTGTGGTGGACAAAGTGGCGCTGGGGCAGGTTTTCTCCGAGTACTTCGGTTTCCCCTGCCAATCTTCATTCCACCAACTGCTCCACAATCACACTCACCTATCCATCTGGGGCTGGTACAATAGGATAGCAGTGGCCGCAGTACAAGGGACTTAGTCCCACCCCACTAGCAATAAAAAAATAGTTAGCTGTAAAATAATATAGTTTTTGTACAGCGTATGTCAAGAATTCTTGCGTTTAGACCCCAGATGTGAACTGAGAGGGGACCAACAGTAAAATGCAATGCACTTTCTGTTGCAGGACCGATACCTTTGTACAGGAGACAATACGAAGGAAATTCAAGAACTGCACAGTTCTCACGATAGCTCACAGACTCAACACAATCATGGACTCTGACAAGGTTCTCGTTATGGACTCCGGTACCATGGTGGTAAGTATTGTCACTATTTTAGAGTGACTATAGACACTTACAGATCATAACTACAAGTAACTATAGAGGTATCGTTAATTCACGCACTCTTAAGTTTCACTACAGTTTCTTCTCAGCCTATCTTTTCACCGGTTGTCGCCTGGTAACGGCTTCCAACGCCGTAGCTTCCTCAGCTTCCGTGTTTACGTTCTTACTGGCAGGCGACTGTCTCACAAATCACTAAAAGTCAAAGTCAAAGTTACTTGACGACTGGCGTATTACCGCTAATCAATTCGTCTTCGCGTCAGGCCCCTTGAGACCCACGACCAGAGTTTTCTTTTTTTCCAACTTAACTCTTGCGATAATAGTGCTTATGTAACATCCTCTCTGACGAGAAGATGGATTTGTCTCTCATGAATATGCTTGGACTTTCGTCAAGTGTATATTTCGCACGTATAACATGTTATTGAAAATTCTTCCTTTTGCACTACACACAAGTCCTCTGTCAGTACATGCTTTACAGAGCAGATCACGTCTAGCAAAATTCAGACTTGTCCTCTTTATAACACCTTGGAACGGACCGCTTAGAATACACTTCTCAATAGTTTTTTTTTATTGTTGCATCACGTGGCTATCGCTTGAACGGCGTAGAGAACACTATTCCTCCGTTGCTGTTGCTTACAGATATGTGTGGATTAATGTTATCCTATTTTTTATTGCTAGTGGGGTGGGACTAAGTCCCTTGTACTGCGGCCACTTCTGGCCTATTGTACCAGCCCCAGATGATAGGTGAGGGTGATTGTGGAGCAATTGGTGGAATGAAGATTGGCAGGGGAAATCGAAGTACTCGGAGAAAACCTGCCCCAGCGCCACTTTGTCCAGCACAAATCCCACTTGACCAGACCCGGGATCGGGAAGCCAGCGACTAACCGCTAGAGCTATAGCGCGGCCCAAACTGACCTTAATGTGTCGCAAGCAGAAGATATAAAGGGGCGAAACAGAAGTGGTTGTGGCCTGTTACAAAACACTGACGCAGTATTAACCCGGAATAGTTGAAGAACACGCTCAAGTCAGTCAAGAGAAGTGATTCTAGAGCGAAATTATATCCAGCACATCCTGAAATCGATGGATAAGTAATATCCATTGGGATCCATGGAACGTCACGGAGCCAATCTGTCCACAAATGAGACTTTAACTGTGATGTGGCCTTTGCTTCCAGGAATACGACCATCCCTATATATTGCTTCAGAAGAAGGCTGGTTACTTCTACAGACTGGTCGAAGAGACGGGCCCTGCGATGGCAGATCAACTACTGAAAATAGCGGAAGAGGTAAGGTTGCGGTCTACTTTTATGTTAATGGCAGGCCTCTTCATCGAGTTAACTAAAACATTTTACAAAATTTTACAATTAAATTTATTTAGTCTAGTGAGTCAACTAAGAGACACGGCTTAACCAGAAACAATAAGTTTTGGAGAAAAATAAGCTCCTGCTTTCCTTTGATACGATACCGGACGTACCTTCAAGGTCAGATTCAGAGAACACATACGAGACATAAACAATAACGGACAAAGCTCCAAATTTGCTCAACATATATTGGACACCACACATGAATATAGTACGATAGACAAAACATTAGATATTCTATATATCGGCAAGAAAGAACGAACCTTGGATACATATGAAAGATTTCACATTTACGAAATCAGCAAACAAAATTTGCAACTGAATGATAATCTTAACGAAATGTTTAACCCTATATACGATGTAATCATTGATACATACAGAACATAATATACAGTTATACCCCCTTCCCCCTACACCACTTCTGCATACACCTTATCTCTACCTCCCCCCTCCCTTGCATTGACTTTTAACTTATATCACCAAATCAGTCGCTGTTTACATTCCCTACAGAACTGACAACACTTTGTAAGATGAGGCACCGACTAAACATTAACTAATATACACTATATCTTCAATACCAAAATCAAATTTTGATGATAACAAAATTTAATACTATTACTTTCATATCATTTTCAGATTAACATTAATTTACTACATCTGCATCACGAGCCTCCTATACAATTTTATATACAAAAATATAAATATTCCAACTTGTAGGTGGGAACGCAACGAAATTACAAAACCAACGACTGATTCGATGATATAAAACATCAATCGAAGAATTTTACTCTTGTTTTATACTATAACTTCTGTTTTATATAATCTGATTTATTGTATTTTTACGTGAAGTGTTTTATATAATTAATTGTATTGTATCCAATTTTACTAGTACTGGAGTTCAGTGGTGTATATTAGCTATGTATTTTCCGGATGATGGCTACTGATAGCCGAAACATGTAGCAGAGCCAAACTAGGCACTGACCTTGATATTTGTTGTGTTGTGACAGTTGTAATAAATAATTGTATACTGTAACACAACAGGATGCATGAAATGAAAAAAAAAATAATATTATACAATATTCATATTCAGATGAGAACTCCCGTACTAAAGAAAATGCATTAAAACTTCTTCCGTGATTAATGATATATAATCGAATTTGTGTGTTTAATTTAAGTTCGTTTAATATATTAAAAAAAAGAATTGCAATACAAGCGTAAACGATAAACTAATAACAAAAAATCTGTGTTTAGGATGTGCAATATATACGCGGTAGTGTAGTTGGTTGAGGCACTATGCTACAAGCCGGAAGGTCGCGGGATCGAATCTCGATGAGATCAGTGGATTTTTAATTGACCTAATCCTTCCAGCCGCACTATAGCACTGGGTCGACTCAGCCTCTATCAGAAATGAGTACCAGGAATATTCTTGGGGGGTAAAGGGCGGCCGGCGTGTAAGGCTAACAACCTTGCCGCCATCTGTGAGCCGATTGTATAGAAAATGTGGCAACCTCAACGTCTCACAACCCCATGGGCCTCCACGGCCTGTTACAGGGATACTTTTACTTTACTTTACTAATCCTTGGAGTGAAATACAAAATTTCCATAAATACATGGGTTTCCCATTGCAGCAAAACAATTGAACCTTCTTTTACCCCTTTCGTAAATCCTGTTTTAATTCAGAAATTGTTCTGTATCTTGACATTACACTCTCATTTACTTACAAAAGTACTGATAAACGATAGTTTTATAACTATTATAATTATGCAGATAAAATCAGTTTCTTTCTTCCCCAAAATTAGTCTTTTCTGAATATGCTTACAATAGCAATAACATTGCATAATCAGAGAGGTAAGATCTTTGCTTAATGTAAAATTCCTTTATATTTAGAGATGAATTATTCCTTGCGAATATACTGAATTTACAAATGTGTCAATCTTGAAAGACTTTGTGCAAATAACGAAAATTTTATTTTTATTTTTGCAGGCATATCGGAAAACATTTCATATTGATGGAACAGCAGAACAGGAAGATTTGACAACAGCTTTATGAGACAACCTGCAGATGTAACTGCGGACCACATATTTTATAATAAAATAAATATTAAAAACGAGTTTTTTGATCTCCGATTTACATATCTTCATTGAAACTGAAACTACGTTCTTAGGAAAGCTTTCTAAGATGGTAGATTCTAAAGGTTTCTGACTATTGTGTATAAAACACAGAATTATTGGGTTTCGGAATTTTTTCCAACTCTCTGCATTCTATAAAATAGAAAAAACACGACGTTTCGGGAACTGCATCTGTTTCTGTTCACAGGTCCAGTGATTGAGATTAGATCTTTCTAAGGGGCCCAAGAGTAGGTGTCTTCCCCCTTCACCTGCGAACGGAAACAGATCCAGTTTCCCAAACATCGTGTTTTCTTTTTTCTAGAATACCGGATGATGGAAAAAGTAAAAACCCCCACTAATTCTGTGTCTTTCTGAGAAGGAGTTTTCCGAGTTCCCAAGCACATTCTTTCCCACTAGGAAGCTTGGTCTATGCCTGCACAAGTAACAAAGATTACGTAAAGGTGTAGAACACAAGATTCCTGTTATTTCCGGTACAGCCCTAGCGAAATCCTAAGTTGTCTGTGACATTATTTTATGCTCAAATATAAGGCCGACCTCTACAACATAATTTTTCAACTGATTTGTGAGATTCGATTTTCTCACAGCGCTCTGTGATCTAGTGGTCTGAGTTTCTGGCTACAGATCCAGAGGTCCGGGTTGGATTCCCGGCGCTACCAGATTTTCTGAGAAGTAGTGGGTCTGGAATGGGGTTCACTCAGCCTCGTGAAGATAACTGAGGAGCTATTTCAATTAAATAGCGGCTCCGGTCTAGAAAACGGAAATTAACGGCCGTAGGGATTCGTTGCGCTAACCACGCGACCTCTAACCGCTAAAGTTGGCACTAAGTTCGCCAACGAGCGGCGGTCGCTCGGTCGGTATAGTTCGCTTGCGGACTAAAACCGCGGAGTTATTTTTTTTTTGTGAATACGAGGGTTACCATCTTCTGGGATTTAACGTCATACAGTCTGGTAGATCGTTACCGATATTTCGAAGGAACAACACAAGATACAGCATTCCGTTCGAACTTCAGTAAAGCTCTACCAGACTACATGACGCCACACTACAGAAGACAGTAATATTCTCAAGCAGGTGCCTAATCGCAAAGCCTCCTTATGACGGAATAGTATGGGGGGGGTAGTGTGTCCGCCATAGACGAGTTAAGGGATATTCATAGATGGACACCATAGGGTACATAGCCGACATACGCAATAGACATAGAAACCCACAATGTGATTGCTTAAAGGTTTTTGTATGGGGATTATTTTCTGTTTTAAATAGTTTTCTATCTACAAAACCTTCTTAGAGCCTCAACATCTCTAAAAATTCGTACTTCTGTACTTACTTACACAGCCAGCTTTTCTCCGTTATATCCGGATCCGTTATAACGAGGGTTTATTGGTTTTCATGCGACTGAGAAGATTTTCCACTCCAATAGATGGAGTAGCTATGCATTACATTGTCACATTCAACTGGAAATCTCATCATCTTTTATATATGAGTCGCTGCTTATTGTGAGAATCATACAAACACACTCTGTCGGGAGAATGCGGAGTTAGGTATATTGAAACCTGTGGTATATATAGTAACCACTGGGCTTTAAAACGGTTAAACCATTTACTCTGGTTTCCTCGTATTCCCTTCATAGCCTAATTTTTCTTTTATATGAAGAAAGACAAGTGTGTAGCGCCATCATGGCTGTGCGTCCCTCAAGGTTTCCCCTAGCGCGGTTGTTCCATCTAGCGGCTACTCTTGAAACTTAATGGAATATCATAATGCAGCAGTCGATCTTCCCAGCAAACATTTTCCTACCTTCTTACTATAAAATGGTGCTGGCTCGCTGGTATAACGGTAATGCTCTAAGGATTATATTAGATAGGTGCGCCATTCGAATCTCGGACACGACACCGTCTATCCTAACTGAAATTCTTCCTGCTGTTCCTCAGTCCCTCTAGGCAAATGCCGTGAGAAAATATCGATTAATCCACGATCGCTTCCTGCCAGAAGCTTCACAAATATTGTTCATGACCCATTTCACCGTTCAACGCTATAAAGTTCGAGAAACTGACTGCATCGTAAAATAAACCACCAAACATAAGGTTCAAATGAGATAGGCCCCCTGAGGCACATCTTACATTGAATGGACGGAATATCCCCTCTGTCAGTCATGTAAAATGTGGGTGTAATCTTCACCAAGAGAATTACATGGAGACTGCGCAGAGAAATGACTGAAGCTACGGCCTTCAGAACATCTATCATAATCTATTCACTGTTAAAAAGTGAGCGTTTAAGAGCCAACCTTACAAAAAGCGCTGATTATCTCAATAATATTATATTTTAGCGTCCTGTTGCACTGATTCACGTCCATGATATGTAATGATATAAACTCCGTCCCAAGTGCAAACAATATATTATGTGTCCTTGATCTTGCTCCTTTACACTACATGTTTCGGCCTCAGACGGCCATCATTAGGTGTATAACACTCACGTTGCTGTCACACTGCACCCAGCCCAAAATTTAACATTTAAAAACACTTTCCTTGTTCTTATCAAAGTCTACTTCGTTGATATGTCTGGTTTGTAGATTATTTTACATACGTTAATTTTGACTTTCTTGTAGTAGCACTATAAAATCTTTAGTTCCAATTTTAAAATCCTTTAAATTTTTTCTCTAAATTTTAATTTAATTTCTCTAAATTTGAGTTTATATCATTATATCATTTATCGTATAGAGTGCAACAGGATGCTTAAATAAAATATTGCCCATGATGTGTATTTATACCAACCGTCTTACAGTGCACACGATTTCATCTTTCTCTTCACTACATGTCACATACACATATCCAGCAGTCATAAGGGAAGGACACAACACAGGACACAATATACACAAGAATATAGGAAGAGCACTCCCATAGGAGAGGATTGACGTAACTCGCGAATTTGAAGTGCGACGTATAGTTGATAAATCTTGAAAAGTTTTAACATGTAAACTTTATTATTATACATGACATATATACATTTTAATCATTCTATAAAGGAGACATGATGACATACAGTGCAATGGTTTGACGTAAATAAAACCACACCTGAAGATGGCACATTAGTGCCGAAACATGTAGTGAAGAGAAAGGTGAAATCGTGTGCACTGTAAGACGGTTGGTACAAATACACATCATGGACGTACCCCAATAATGATTTATGCTTGCCTCGCCTGGGAAGTAGCAGCAGACACACCTCTTAAAATTACATTGCCTACAAAACAAGTTCATCCACACCACTGAAAATTATCCAAGGTGCACACCGGTCCGAGATTTGCACACGACTTTCAGCCTTCCGTATGTATATCATTATGTAACAAAATTGTGCAGGAGACAAGCAGAAGTCATATAAAATGACGCGATAGAACATGTTCGCAACGCAGCACAAGACGAAGTCTGATATAGAAAGTATAAGACGCTTAAACTTGGCGGCGGTCAAGCTTACGACCGTTCAAGTGATTTAGCTGCCGTTGTAGCATAAGATACGTAAGATAGGTATGATCTGTTTTGCAAAAATCTGGACTAACAGCGCGCTTGTATATAGTGAAAAATGAACAATTATCAATAACATGCTATATGTTGATAAGAGACAAAGCCACGGTCTCGTCAGAGAGGATGTTACATAAGGACTAGTACCGCAAGGGTTCAGTTGAAAAAAACTTTGGTCGTGAAGCTCAAGGGGCTTAGCAGCAAGACGAACTGATTGGCGGTAAATCACCGGTCATAAAGTGACTCTGACGCTGACTCTGAATCTGTTTTTAAAAGGTTAAGATCATGAAACGAAATTTGGTAAGACATTATTGAAAGATGTGTAGCTTTCTTGACGAAATTTTTTCAGAATACAAAATGATTAACGTGAATTATGTATGTGGCGGGCTAAATTAAATTCTTATGGCATTCAGAACAAAACCATGGTCGCCAGACTAAGAGACTCGCATACAGAGTGACCCCTTTGTCTCCAATAAATATCACAGTCGACACTAGAATATATACATTGTTTTATTATATGTACTAGTGTCAACTGTGATATTTATTGCAGACAAAAGGCTAGCGTAGTTGGTTGAGGGGTTATGCTACAAGCCGGAAGGTCGCGGGTTCAAGTCTCGATAAGGTCATTGGATTTTTTCAATTGACCTAATCCCTCCAGCCACACTATGGCCCTGGGGTTCACTCAGCCTCTAACAGAAATGAGTACCAGGAATTAATTAAATAATTTTCCTGGGGAGTAAAGCGCGGCCGGCGCGTAAGGCTGACAACCTTACCGTCATCTTTGAGACGATTGTCTAGATAATGTGGGACTCTCTACGTCTCAATACAATTTCCACACAGTCTGTACATATAAAACGTTTTCATTAAGTCATAGAGAAGTGAGAGCGGACAGCAATTTAAGTTCGTTATCGCCTCGTGACGTAGGGCCGACTCCCAGCTTTATTACGTAAGATTGAAGTACGTGTTAAGAATTGGAATTCGGGCTATGCCGACAATGCGAACATCTTCTCATCTCCGAAAGTAATTTTGAGCAGGAGGAGAGAGGATGGGGGTTGAGCTGCTCCCAGTAGTGGGTTAGTTGTGTGCAGACAACGACAGGGTTCAGTACCATCTCATTCTGCCCTAGACGTCTGAGGCTACATCCGCTTCCAGTATAGCACAAGTAAGAGATCCGATTAGGGAAACACGCTGTTGAATTTCTATTTAAACTTACTGATCACCTGACTTCAGGAAGTTTTTTGTCTCTTCGTGGACTTTATGCGCAATTCTGAGATTGTGATTTTATTCAAATCAATTACAAGCTTAATGACAATATTCATGTCCATGCTTGGAGACTTTCAGTGGCTTAAATAAGTATGCCAGTTTTCTGAGAAAATGTTTGCACACAATTTTGACTCTAAAATTGAATTTAAATTAATTAAAACGTACTGTACCTAAACTTAGAGATATTAACAAATTTTTCTGCTTTTTTCAGTAGGAAAAATCTATTTAAATCAATTACTAACAAGGCAATAAAATGTCTGCCTAAACTTATTGACTGTAACTGTAGTAATTTCGTTAATGTGGTTTGTTTAAATAATTTTATGTCATTTTGATATATAATTCGATTTAATTGATTTTATAATACAATAATGAAACTTGTTTCTAAAATTTCGTATTTACGAAAGACCATTATTTTATTTGCATAAAGACCTTATATGATGTTTTGAATCCATGACTTAATTCTAAACAATTAACCATAAAATAATGTCATTTCATCATTCAGTGGCTGTGATTAACACAAAACTTAGATACTAAACAATGAGACAACTGAAGAGTAGCGGAACAAGTTTGTACGGAGGCACGCGGTAGCACAGTTCGTTGAGGCACTTTGCTACAAGCCGGGTCGCGCCATAGCTCAAGCGGTTAGTCGCTGGCTTCTCACCGCGGCGGCCCGGGTTCCATCCCGGGTCTGGTTAAGTGGGATTTGTGGTGGACAAAGTAACGCTGGGGCGGGTTTTCCCCATGCACTCCGGTTTCCCCTGCCAATGTTCATTCCACCAATTGTGCTACAATCACCCTCATCTGGGGCTGGTACAATAGACTAATCAGTGGCCGTCGTGCCGAATGGACCCAGCTGGACTCCACCCCCCACTAAGCGAATTAAAAAAATAACTGCTACAAGCCGGATGGTCGCGGGTTCGATTCCCGAAGAGATCACTGGAATTTTCAATTGGCCTAAGCCTTCTAGCCGCATTATGGCCCTGGGGTCGACTCAGCCTCTAACAGAAATGAGTACCAGGAATCTTCCTGGGGGTAAAGGGCGGTCGGCGCGTAAGGCTGATAACCTCACCGCTATATGTGTGAGCCAACTGTCTAGAAAATGTGGGAACCTCGACGTCTCACAACCATATGGGCCTTTACGGCAAAACTGTCCATAAAGGAATACAAAAGAGTCTGAAATGAAAATAAACGCATGTCGAAATGCTGACGAAACGTCTAATATTGATTACAGTGTAAAAATTACTCTGATGCTGTCTGTTTAATTTTTAAGACTATAAACTTTAGTGTTGTAACAGGTGACCTCAAAAAATGACACCGTAGTCTTGATAATTTATATTTATATTGACCGATCCATAACTTAATAATCTCTGGCTCTGTTATTCTCCCCCCCCCCCATAAAGAACAGACCGTATTTTTCAAGAAAAATGGGAAATCGCTTATTTCTGTTGTGAAATAGAAGGTAAAATTACATGTTTGATCTGTAATTTGCAAAATATGTGTTCCACTTTAGGTAATTACAGTAAAACTTGGTTATAGCAACATCGGTTTCTGCGACACCTTGTCTATTGCGTCAAATATTCAATGGTACGAACTAATTCCTCATAAAGCAACTGTTTTTATACCTTGCTTAGTACGACATGCACAAATGCATCAACCTCGTATGTAACGTCATTTTCATTCCTGAATTTCTCTGATATGGACATTGAACGTAATTTAGAAAGTGTGTATTGGGCAAGTAACAGGAAACAGATGAAGATAACTGATTACTGTACTCGTATCTAAGTACAGTAAGGCACAACAATTGATGTAATCTACTGTAATTTGGTGAGTAGGCCTACCTTTAATATACAGTATTAGTGCGGTGTGTATTGTCAGTGAAAAGCGCTGTAATATGTCTTTGATATTACACATTTGGGCAATTCCACGTTAATGTTACGTTAGTCTGTACTTAACTACGTATTTCACTAAAAAATGCAACATTTTAACTCGGTTTTTGGTAGATTTTTACGTGACTAACATAAGGCTACTGTGGAAGTGCCCATTTCGGTTACAACGACATTCGTTTATAACGACGCTATTTTTAGGTCCCTTTGGTGACGTTATAACCAAGTTCTACTGTATATTGAAATTATTCCTAAATAATAAATAGAATTAAGTTTCCTTGTATCAAAATCTAATATTTATTTCTATTTAGAAGTGCGGCCCTGTACTATTATTTATAGGGCTGAGGTGGCCCTCTGTACAAGTTGAGTTTGACATGCCTGATCTAGACAATCAACTCAAAAATGGCGGTAAGGTTGTCGGCCTTACGCGACGGCCGCGCTTTACTCCCCAAGAAAATTATTTAATTAATTCCTGTTACTCATTTCTGTTAGAGGCTGAGTGAACCCCAGGCCCATAGTGCGGCTGGAAGGATTAGGTCAATTGAAAAAAATCCAATGACCTCATCGGGATTTGAACCCGCGAATAAGAAATTTTAAATGATTTGTAGCACAATTTACAAAACCCACAAGCAAGAAAATAAATACATGAACTATGTCATTTACTGACAAATATTATAAATAGTCTTTCATCTTCTAACAATAATTTAATCCTCTTTATAATATAAAAATTAACAGCGCCCCCGGGTGGGCTCGAACCACCAACCTTTCGGTTAACAGCCGAACGCGCTAGCCGATTGCGCTACGGAGGCTTCTGAAATCAGTTCTTCACCAATATCAACACTCGGAAGCCATTTCATAAATATATTACACGCGAGCAAATGTGTTTCCTTTCGCTTACATTCCTACAAGAGTAAACAACGTATTGTAAACGTTGATATGAAAGAAATTGTTTTGGGGGGGATTTCAAGAATAAATACTTTTAATTCTGTGAATTAGAATTTTGTTTTAAGCTCATATGGGGTACGAACTGATGTCATATTATTACAACGAACAAAACAAAACTGTTCCAATATTTCAAACTTTTAAACACAGAACTCGGAAAGATATATGACATAGATGATATTCCGTTCAATTTTGGCAGTTCCCATCTTCAGCTAAGGTTTCCATTGATAGTCCTTCCATGGGGCCAATCTTACACGTCATAGCCCTTCCTGAATTGCAGTTTCCTCGAATTTACGCCATCAATTTGAAACGGTTCTAGAGCGACAGTTTGCTGAAATAAACAATAATACGAGCGCCTAGAGGACCTTTTCTATTCACCCCACCGAAATAAGCTAAAAGTGTATATATATACCTATTCGTAGACAGGCGGTAGCGTAGTTAGTTGAGGCACTATGCTACAAGTCGGAAGGTTGCGGGTTAAAGTCCCTATGAGTTCATTGAATTTTTTCAACTGACCTAATTCTTACAGACGCACTATGGCCCTGGGGTCGACTCAGCCTCTAACAGAAATGAGTACCAGGAATATTCTTGGGTGTAAAGGACGGCTGGCGCGTAAAACTGACAACCTTGCCGCCATCTATGAGCCGATTGTCTAGAAAATGTGGGAACTTTCACGTCTCACAACCCTATGGGCCTCCACGGCCTGTTACAGGGATAGTTACACTTACTTTTATACTTTATTCGTAGACACTGCCCACCGAATATGTTGGTGTAGCAATAAATATATAGACTTGAATTAGGGAGGTGCTGCGCCCTAATTTCAGGCGGGGCACCAGATCTTCCTCAGTCCCTAGAGGTACATGCCGAGATAGTACCTGGATTAGGACACAACGGCTTCCTTCCAAACATCGGCACTTGAAAAGTGTCGTTAAATCATCATTGGCACAAAAGCCCTACTTTAGCCAAAGACTTCCTTGGAAGATTCTAGCAGACTGCATTCGGGTTTTATTTCTTTGGATTTCACAATATATTTTTACAGAACAAGGTCGTCAGCCTTGCGTCCAACCCCCAACCTGGAGGACCATGTCCCTTCATTCATGTCCCTCACTAAAAGAGTGGCCCAAGCACCAGGTTCCCTTTTCGTCACCTGCCAAGACTCGCAGAGATGCGCTGGAGGTGTTCTAACCTACCTCCACAGAGGTAGTCGTCAGATAACTCAATAAATAGCCAACTGCATGCAGCTGAGTCCTTCTTGACAAACCGCCAGTCATTCAGCCACTCAAGAAATTCCTAGCATTTTATGAAACTGAAGGCTTATTGCCGAGTTCTCAAAAGCCCTCCACTGGTCCCTATCCTGAAACAGGTAAATCCAGTCCCCACCACATCACGTTGTATCTCTAATATCCATTTTAATATTATCCTCCCGCCTATATCTGGGTCTTCCTAGTAGTCTCCTTTCTTCTGACTTTCCCACCAATATCCTATATGCATTTTTCTCTCACCCATTCGTGCCACATGCCCTGTCCATCTCATCTTCCTTGACTGGATCATTCTAATTATACTTGGAGAAGAGTACAAGTTATGAAGCTCCTCGGTATGTAGTTTTCACGAACCTCCTGTCACTTCATCCCTCTTCGGTCCAATCACTGCCCTCAGCACCCCGTTCTCAAACACCCTTAGTCTATGTTCATCCCTTAATGTCAAAGACCAAGTTTCACGCCCATATGGAACCACTAGAAAAAATATCATTACCTGACTTCTAATATTTAGCACAAGCAGGACTTTGCAGTCGGTATAGCGGTTGGCTACGGGCTGGACGGCCGAGGTCCGGAGTTGGAGTCCCGGTAGAGGCAAGATTTTCCACCTACCCAAGTTGTCCAGACCGGTTCTGGGGCCCACCCAGCCTATCAAATAGGCAGGGGAGGATTCTTCCCTCGAAGATTAAGTAGCCGAGGCGTGAAGCTGACCACTCACCTCCAACCAGTGCCGAGGTTAAGGAAACGTGGATCTATACATCCACTCCCCCATACACCTACATGGCGTAGTGCTTAATTAGTTAGGCACAGGGACAATTTTCTTTTTTCCCTTGGCACTACAGCCCCAGTGGGCCTAGACCCACCTCCATGAACTTCTCCGTTCACTTCGGTTTTTCTAGATCTTACACATTCGGTAGGACTCCTTGGGCGGGTGATCAGCTCGTCGCAAGGCCTCTACCTGTACACAAACACAGAAAATGACACACAAACATCCATGCCCTGAGTGGGATTCGAACCCACGATCCCGGTTTCCAAGAGAGCGAAGACAGTGCATGCCTTTGACCGCTCGGCTACCGTGACCGGCAGTGTATAAAAATAATATATAAGAATTCAGTTCGTACCTCACAGGAAACAGATCCGAACCCACGATCCCGGCTTCCGAGCGAGCGAAGACAGTGCATGCCTTTGACCGTTCGGCTACCGTGACCGGCCAGGGACAACTTTACCTTACTTTAATGCAAATGGGACGCTGATGTGCTATGCCACAGCTGTCGGGGAGAGATCAGGTGAAGGGGATGCCTGGCCGAGTGTGGGCACGCAGTGAGGACAAGACGGTGGAGTGGGTCAGCATGCGGGGAGACCAGCTAGCAGGGGCCATCGACGTCATGAGGGAGTCCTTTTTCCCGCACGAGAACATCTCCAAGGCTCTACGCCTCAACGAGAGAACCCGCGCCTCAGCCCAGACCGAGCGTCTTGCCAAACTCGCTGCCAACGATGGAGCGTCCATTGTAGCAGTGGAAGTGGCGTCCGGACGCGTTATTGGCGTCGCCTTCAATAAGATTCAGGTCAGTTCTTCATTACACACCACAACGTTTCGATCTGCCTCCGAAGACACTGTAAAGGTGTAATGTGTACAGAAGGCGAGGTATGTAGTAGGGAGCATTGGTCTATCTTGACCATTCCACTGTTTAATTGGCGGAGGGATAGGGTTCGGTTCCTGGTAGAAGTATGACAGCTTTCTCTTGTCCACAACGTCCAGACTGGTTCTCCTCCTCCCAGTCTCCAATCCAATGTATACCAGGGGCTCTTTCTTCAAGGAATAAAGAGGCCGAAGGGTCAAGATGCCCAGTTACCGCCACCTAGCGCAAGGTTAAAAACGCTTGGAGTTATACCACCACGTCCCATATATCTTCATGGCGTGATGCTTACGTATTATTCACAGGAACTGCCATCAATAAACACACTGAAGTTGTGCATCAATAAAAAATTATCCCTGTAACAGGCAATGAAGGTCCATAGGGCTATGAGACATTATCTAGACAATCAGCTCAAAGATAGCGGTAAAGTTGTCAGCCTTACGCGCCGGCCGCGCTTTACACTCCAGGAAAATTATTTTATTAATTCCTGGTGCTCATTTCTGTTAGAGGCTGAGTCAACACCGGGGCCATAGTGCGGCTGGAAAGATCAGGTCAAGTGAAAAAAATCCAATGACCTCATGGGGACTTGAACAAAGAATTTTCACCTCTCCAATCGTCCAGACCGACTCTGGGACTCACCCAATCACCTATACAATGGGTAGTGGGAGCTCTCTCCCGGGGGTAAAGCGGCCTGGGTGTGAAGCTGACCACGCACCTCCAACCAAGAAAATGTGGACCTATACATCCACTCCTCCATACGTCTTCATGGCGTAAGTGCTTAATTAGTTAAGCACAGGGACAACTTTACCGTTACCTTTATTTTCACATCGGTTGTCATATTACAATACCGACAGCGTAGCAATTTTGCATTAATAGATTTCCGTTTAATCCAAGTAATGTTTTAGGGTCAGTATTTGAAGTTTTCATGGTTGTGTTTATTCATATTACAGTCTTCTGGGTTAAGACACCCTGCTTGCGAGTGTTAGTTGGTTACAAACGCGTCGGAAAAACGTTGAACTTCATTAAACACGGCGTTATAACCCAGGAGACCACAACATATAAATACATATGTGACTCTGTTGTCTCTTCAACAGTTACCTACACCACCAGGAGAAAAAAACCTTCTGGAGCAACTTCGAGAGGAGAAAGACCACGATCCATCCTTCATAGGGGTTCTGGACTATCTCACGAAGGTCAGTATGTCCGATGGAATAACTTGGAAGCGGGATTCTGTACGCAGTCCATGTAACAGCTGTGTGATGTAAGAGTAGAGGACATATTGGAAGCGGTGTTTTCTATGTGGTCCGCTCCATGGTTATACAACTCGACCGACCCGTGTGGAGGCGGGGTCGAATTGAGACAGTAATATATGGTCTCGAGTACCAAGGGTCTCGGACCCGAGAAAGACTGCGCCGGCAAGGACCAGCAGCATATACCAGACCCGTCCTCTCGTCAGAGAGGGCTCCCACAAAAAACAAGACCGTGACTGTCTGACAGTAATAAAGATCTGGTCGCAAGCCCCAGATGGGTGCTTTATGCCAAGACAGACTGGCCGATTGACCGTCGGTCGTAAAATGAGACTCAGACTCAGTTAGTGAGTACAGTGGAGTAGAGTCGAGTTGATATATTGAATCAATCTGTGTAACAAAACATTAGGTGAATATCAACGGTGTGAGACTGAACTGCAAGGGTAATATTACCCTCTAATTGGATGCTCATCTGCCGTAAACGTGTCCAATTATCGAAACGTTACTAGCGAAACGGACACACGTGGACCTACTACTATCATAAACTTATGTCTTCTTGAAAGTATAAGAACAGTAGTTTGAAATTCTGATTTATGTTTAAGCATTCATTAATATTCACTACATCTCTTCGGTAGGTGGAAGGCAAGATTGATGTTTTCGCTCATTACGGAGTCAACTGCATCATGGAACTCATGTTCCTGGCCACACTGACAGAATTCTATGGCCGGGGCGTAGGTCGGCGTTTGGTACAAATCACAGAGGAGGTCGCTAACGCCTTAGCAAGAGGAGAAGATGTAATCGAGCCACTTCAAGAAGATGCCAACCCTTGGAAAGGCCGTTCCACACCCAGAACACAAGCACTTATGGCTATATTTACGTCTGCAATCTCACAGAAGATTGGCACTTCGCTTGGTTGGGAGGAACTTGCTGCTGTTAAGCATGACGATTTATTCTTCGAAGGGGAACCATATAGTCTTCGTATTGGTCCTGATCACCCAACTAGCGCTCTCATGGGTAAAAAAATTATTGTCTAGAACAATGTTCGTCAAATATTCTGACTGAGGAAATATTTTAATCTCTAAAATACTGAAGAAACCCCCTTCCACACCCACACCTAGGCTCCAAACGTGTCCAAAGACGTTCAAATCAGCACTTTCTCCTACCTCGAGGTCATAAAATACATCCACTTTGTGCGGTATCAACAGAATAAATAACTGGATAGGATGTGGTGTGTCGGTAAAATATGCTAGTAGTAGAATAAAATGTATCAACGTTACTAATACTGAAATCCGCCACTGGACAAAGTCTTGAGTCAGTTCCATCCACCTCCCATTCTAATACGCATCTCCGTTAAGATCCATCTTAGATTACCCTCCCATCTCTTTCTAGACCTTCCAAATGTATGTTTTCAAAAGATCTACACACCAACATTACGCTTGCATTCAATGTCTCACTGTGTCGCTTGAACAGATCATCGCAACCTCCTAGAATTCGCTTCATCATAACAGGTGGCCTGTACGAATCTTCTTCTCCATCTTTACTGGCGCTAGAGCCCTGTGTGGGTCTCGGTCTTCTCCATCTTTACTGGCGCTAGAGCCCTGGGTGGGTCTCGGTCTCCTCCATCTTTACTGGCGCTAGAGCCCTGTGTGGGTCTCGGTCTTCTCCATCTTTACTGGCGCTAGAGCCCTGGGTGGGTCTCGGTCTCCTCCATCTTTACTGGCGCTAGAGCTCTGTGTGTGTCTCGGTCTCCTCCATCTTTACTGCCGCTAGAGCTCTGTGTGGGTCTCGGTCTCCTCCATCTTTACTGCCGCTAGAGCTCTGTGTGGGTCTCGGTCTCCTCCATCTTTACTGGCGCTCTTCCTAGGATTTCGCAACAATCTTTTCCTTTTACGGAGCAACGTTGTCAGCTTTGAGGCCAACCTCCAACCCGGAGGACCTAGTCTCTGTATTTATGTCCCCCAGGGACAGGGTGGCCCAGTTATGACCCCAGGCACCGGGTTCCCTTTACATCGCCTTCTACGTCCCGCAAGGCTACGGTGGAGATATTGTATCCTGTCTCCACACATCATATTTTATCAGCTCACTTCATCTTTAATCCTCTGATTATCTGAATAATCATTGACGTATGTTGTTTCCTGAGAATGGTCATCTGTCGAAATATAACCCAAGGTCAATACAGAACCACAGTGCCAAGGAGGACGGCCACCTTATCTGGACTTCGTTGTGTGAACCGTGGCATAAACACTCTATTTCGTAACGATTAGAGTAAACGACCCCACAGAGAACCACGCACGGTAGGAGAATACAACACAGTAGCTGTAATCATTGTACTATCGCTGTACTTTTGGTGTATCAGTCGATGTATCCTGACAGTTATACTAAGGAAACCAACCTCAGTTCATTGTAAAATAAAATTGTAAATTAGATTAATATGATGGAATAAAGTTATGGTACATATCGTACACCTTTATTTAACCGTTTAAAGCCCAGTGGTTACTATATATACCACACGATTTTACACATTAAAACTCTGCATTCTGCCCAGAGTGTATCTATGTGTCCCGCATGGTTCTCACAGTAAAGAGCGATGGTTCCTTTAAACTGCATTAACCGGTTGGGCTTTGTAGCGGTGACGTAATATGTTTCCTGTGAGGTACGGACTGAATTCATATATAATTTTAAAATAAACGACCGTACAAGTGACTAGACTGCCGTTGTAGCGAAAGCTATTAGAAATAGGGCATAATCTGCTGTACTGAGCCTGGACTGACAGAGGCCCTCTATATATTTAATACATTTATTATCATGTTTAACGTGTAAAATATAAATATCCTTTACATTATGACAAATGACTTACTACTACAGACAATGACTCTGACTAAAGACAAACCCGTCCTCTCGTCAGAGAGGGCGCCCCATAATAACAAGACCTAAATTGGCAAACAGTAATAAATATGTGGTCATGAGCGCCATAATAATACCCTGTGCTTAATTATGCACCGCATCATGAAGACATATGGAGGAGTGGAGGCATATCTCCACCATTTTTTAAGTTGGCATTAGATGGAGGTGAGTGGTCACCTTTACGTCCAGGCCGCTTTAACTCCGGGGACAGAGCCCCGTTAAGCATTCCATAGAAGCAGGGTGGGCCCCAGAGTCGGTCGGGACACGGTGAAGATAAAAATTTTTTGCACCTGCCTGGAATCGAATCCCAGCTGTCAAGTCCGTCGCTATACCGACTGAGCAATCGCGGCTCTTCATACTGAAAACAAACAAATCTACAGGTGACGCCGTGTTCATTTCTTTGCATAACGACAAACAATCTGAGAAAGATAAACGAGCAGGAAACGGTGAAGTGCAGTTTACCTTGTCAGTGGCCCGACTGCTTACGTAGACACGTGTTCAGGTGCTTCCATGGCCGTCACATGAGGACATAAAGGAGAGAACAAGGTAAGAATTGCATGTGCTTATTCTTGGCTTATATAACGAGGCTTTCCATTTATAACGAATTTAAAATGAAGCGAATGGAAGCTGTCGCGACACACGTTCAAGTACTACGCCGAGATTTGCCTGGGGGGCTGTTAAAAAACAAGGAAAACTTCGGTCAGTATAGGGGGTCTCTGGACCGAGATTTGTCTGGGGGGCTGTTAAAAAACAAGGAAAACCTCGGTCAGTATAAGGTGGTCTCAGGACCGAGATTTGTCTGGGGGGCTGTTAAAAAACAAGGAAAACCTCGGTCAGTATAGGGGGTCTCTGGACCGAGATTTGTCTGGGGGGCTGTTAAAAAATAAGGAAA